TGAAACATGATTAAATACTTCTTTTATATTAATAAAAACTGCAGTTGAGATCAGATCTTTATACTTTTCTATTTAAATATCATGAATCACTGAGAGAACAGTGTTAATTGTAGAACATTATTTTCTATCTCTCATTTATTCACTGAATAAAAGAGAATTACTAATAGAGTGTATAAAAGATAGTTAAGTGACTATTATCTTTTCTAAAACCTTTTCTAGACAGTTCAATAGAGATATTACTCTATATAACTTAAGAATTGAAGTTTTTCTATTAGGTTTTATAAGAATCACTTCAGTGACTTCTCTTCAGCATGCAGAATAATATTCATTTTTTAAGAGATTGAAAAAGAGCTCAAAATATTCATTGTTTAAGTAGAAGTATATATTTTAAATAATCAAGTGATTAATTGAATCAGGCCCTGCAGCAGTTTTAACTGAACTTGAGAAGATAGCTGACTCTAATTCATCTTATATAAGATCAGACCATTCTCAGTCATTTTCATTAATATAGTTGAGAAGTGATATATTCTCTTTCTCTGAATCTGAATCTGATGAGTTCTAAAAGAGAGTTCTTATAAAAGCTTAACATTTTTTCTTAAAAGAGTTTGCTGTATATAATTCATTCTGAAACTCATATTTTAAGATTGAAAGTTTTGCTACACTTCTTGTTTTAGTATAGTTAAAAGCTTTAAAAACTTTCTTTTCTTATGCTTCTTCAAGAAATTTATTTCAGTAGTCTGTTTTAGCTCTTTTAATATCTGAAAAATATTCATTTCTGATAGCTTTGAACTCTTTATTAGAAATTATATCATTCTTTCAAACTCTTCTAGCAGTAGATAATTATTTTCTTTTAGATATGATATTCTTATTTTATCAAGATTTTGAATACTCAGAAGACTTTCTCTTCAAAATATTATCTTTAACACTTACTAGAATAATAGATGTAATGAGCTTCACTCTATTCTTAAGTATTTCATTTGAGATATCTTGATCAGGATTTCAATATAGCTCACTCTGTCTTTCAGATTTTAACAGTTTTATACTTTCTTCAACTGTCTTTCAGTCAGCTTTTTCAAAGTTAAACTGATTAGAGAGAAGAGCATTTTCACTCATTTATTTCTCACTCAGTTTAATATTAAATTGAATAATCTCATGATCTGATTCTGATATCTCATTTAAATTAATAAATCAGTTTATAAGTCTTTTTTTCATTAGATTTTATAATATGAAGATTAGATCTATAATAGATTTCTATTTCATATCTTTTCTAAAGAATGTTTGTTAATCAGACTTGTTAACTAATTCTATTAAATACTCAAAGATTCATTTAATTAGATTATCAGCTCTTACTACTCTTTTACATTCTGAATTTCATCAGAGATGATGTGTATTTTAATCTTCTACAATTATAGAGTTTCTTGATAAAGTTATGTTTAGAAATCCTCTATTAATTATTCAAATGTTATTATTTTTCTTCAATTACTTTTCATTATAGATATTTATAAGCTGTATAGTATCAAACTCATTCTCTTTATCTATAATATCACTCATCAGAATATCAGGGTCAGATATGATATTAAATCTTAGAATAAATTAATATCTTGATCTCTTTCTTTCATAGATTACTACTCTTGACTTTATCTCAGACTTTTGAGATAGAAAGCAGTAGTCACTTAAATGAGAAATAATATATTTTTACTCAGTATCAAAATTTGGCTTCTGAAGCAGTATAAAATCAACTTTTTATTCAAATACAATTTAAAAACAAGAATAAATGCAATTTGAGTTTCTATTCACATTATTTTAAATAAATGTGATTTTTAAAGAGTTTTTAAACTTTTTTTGTTGTTTTTATTATATATTTATACTAAAAGAGAGTAGAGTAGAATCTAATCACTATCATCAGATAGTAGATTATAACTATTCTGAAAAGTAGAAATCTCAACTGCTTACATTATATCTAGTTTATTATTAGAGTCATTTCTCAATTCTCTAATCTTAACAGAAGTTTAAGAATTCAAATTCTGTGTATATTTAGCTGAAGAATTGAAGTTTAAAGATTTAAATAGTTGAGAGTTTCTTCTTTTTAAGCTTATAGTGATGAGTTTACTGGCTTAACTATTCTCTTCAATTCTAGATTTGCTTTGAGCTTTATCTTTTCTTCAGTTCTTTTAAGTTCTTGAAGTAAATATATATTCTTTTGAGCTAGATACATGTTTTTCTTTGTAATTAAAGTATTTAAGTATAGTGTATTGACATATTTTATCTCTTTTTAAGCATATTTCATATTTATACTCACTAGTTTTATGATCTCTGACACAGAATACACATTTTAAGTTCTTAAAATATAAGATTGTAAAGTGTTCATATCTTTGACAGTTTGAATACTGTGTTTAAGCTTTGAGATTCATTCTTGAGTCTTTATATTTATAAACTCTCATTTTCAAATCTGTTACTCTTACTTCAGAGATCTTTGACTGTTTAAGTGTTTTTATATATACTAGAACAGAGACATTTCTTCTGCTTTATTTAAACTCAATTGAATTTAGTTATACAGACTCTTTTCTCAGTTGAATAGAGTTATATTCTTCTAATTCATTTTTGAGAAGTAGTATTTCTTCTTCATAGTCAAAAATTTCAACTAAAATATTATAAAGAATGAATTTGTTTCACTTTTCATCTCTCTCAGATAGAATTATTATATTTAATAAAGATTCTACTGCTGATTTTCAGAGATTCTCATTCTGAATAAGGAATTTCACACTGAATTCAGACATTGTAGTTAGAATAATAAAATTTTCAAAGAAGAATGACTCAATTGAAGTTATAACTGATTTTTAAACTTTAATATCAGTTATTAACTGAGAAAAGAACTGCTGATTAATTTCATTTCTGATTCTAAAAATAAGATTTGAGTTTAGCTTGTTTTTTTGCAAGATGTTCTGATTTGAAACTTTGAGAATAACTCTTCTATTTCTGAAGATTTGAAAGTTTTTCTTCTTTTATATTTTTTTCTTTACTTTTCTATGAATAGAAGTATGAGTATTATTCTTCTCAGTTTTCTCAGAATTTTGAGAGATTTTAAGATAGCAGATTTAGAGACAGTAGATTCAGCTACTTGAGCATATATATTCTTCTAATTCAAAGAAGAAGAAGAAGTAGAAAAAGAGAAAGAAGAGTAAGATAAGAAGTCAGTGATTATACTAGAAATTTTCAATGTTTTTTAAATTATGTTTGAAATTTCAAGTTTGAACTTGATCATCTTCTGTAGTTATCTAGTCTAAGTATGAAGAATTAATAGAACTTCATTATTCATCTCACTCAGACACTGCTTTTCAAGAATCTTGCTTACTTTTTCAAGTTTCTGTATTTCAAGAACTTGTTATTTCTCTATTTCTTCTTTCTTTCTTCTCTTCAGAATTTCAATCTTAGAAATAGTATTTAAGAAAGTATCTTTTTTCTCATGAACTGAGTGTATTTTTGAACTTATTATTCTCACTCAATGAAAAGTTAATCAGACTGTTTTAATTGAGATATATATTAAACTCTTTTAAAAAGTTGATCAGACTGTTTCAATTAAGAGATTTCTAAGTCTGTTTTCAATTGAAAAGTTAATCAGACTGTTTCAAAAGAAGAATAAAAGACTTTTATATATAAAATACCTGATTTTTTTCACACTAGTTCAGTAACTAGATTAGATTTTTGAAGAGAATTTAATAAACTAAAATTGATTTTTAAGATAAATCAATAAAATCTTTATATTCTCTTTCTTAAGATACAGTGAGAAAAAGTATAATATCAATTAATAATAAATCAGATAATATGACAGTTTTTGAGAGAAAAACTGACAAAAAATAAATTAATTTTTTACAGAGAAATTGATTAAAACTATTCAATTTTATTCTAAATTATCTCATGCTTCTCACATAACAACTTAACAAGTGTTCAACTTAAATCAGTTAATAGAGAGTGTAAAAAAGAATTAAGTATTAATAAAAGCTCTTCAGTCACTGAACAAGTAATTCTTATTTAAAAGAATATGAAATTATAATAGAAAACACCTCTGTTTTTAATTCTTTATAAGAATATTGTATAAAACTCAGAGAAAAACATCTTACTTTTTCAAGAGAAGTAAAAAACTATTTCTAAGATCTTTTTTTTTTGTATTAACTGCTGCAGAAGAATGAGATAGAAACTGCTAAGATATATACTACTGTATACTCTCTATCAAGACTTTTTCTCTTCAGAGTCTTGATATTATAGAGAATATAAGTCTATTTCTATATAATAATATAAATATTGTCAGCAGAATATAGAGGAACTGGTTATTTATATCTTAAAATAGAAGACTTTGTTAATGATTATATTAATATAGAGTTAATTCTTAAATTCAATAGAAATCTAGTATTGATGTTCTCAATCTCTTACAGAATCTATTGAATATTGAGATATTAAAACTAGATTTAATATATCTCACTGTGCAGAGATCAAAGACTCAGTCAGATATTGAGATATACTGATTTTATAGTTATTGTGTCTGCTGATTATGTATTGAATACAGTTGCTAAGGTATCTTTTTGTACTTTTCTGCTGGGGATGGGCCAGATTGGAAGGGGCGGTACAAGGGTGGGACTTGGTGTAAAGACAGAGAGGGTTTTTCATGGAGAATGCACTTCAGATGTGTCTGTTGATTATGTGCTTGATACTATTGCCAAGGTATCTTTTTGTATTTTTCTGCCGGATGTGGGCCAGATTGGGAAGGGCGGTACGTGGGTGGGACTTGGCATTGATGTTTTGGAACATCAAAGATAGACAGGGTTTTCGTGGAAGTTGCTTCTCAGATATCTCCACAATTACAGATCAGGGATCTTCCAAAATCAAGAAGATTGATGCATATGACTAGGTCTCTTTGCCTTACAATTTGTATGGCAATTTGGCCCGGGGTTGTGGTGTGATAGGGATGAACAGGGGATAATCCCACACAGGAGTTTCAAACACTGTCTGGTTCACATTTGGCTGGATAACTCCATCACCACACGGGGTATGCAGTCGGCGATGGGGTCAAAATGCTCATATGATCGAGGGCTTTTCGATGGATCTATCGGCGGGTTCTTATTCGAAAAATTGAGCGAGTTCGTGGTGGAGCGCTTGACTGAATATATTTTGTATAAATACACTAGATAAAATTACTCTCAAGATTCAATTGCAATATCTGTAGAAGTGCTCATTCTATTGAATACTAACTATGAAACTATACTAAGCTGGGGAAAGAAAGGAACCTTTTATAGATATCCAGTTTCACTAGTGTACACATTGAATACCAGCGAGGGTCTTATGTTCCTGCCTCCTGGTGCTCCTTGAAGGGTTTCCTTCAACACGGGTGTTCTCTTTGAGCAGCGATCCCAGACCGAAGTGTGCGGATGAGTATATCCAGTCCCACTAGCATACATGCTGCATACAAGCGAGGATTCTATATTCTGGCCTTTTGGTGCCTCTTGGGCGGCAATCCCCAATCAAAGTGCTTTCCTTCGGCAACTCCTGACCCAATGGTAGCTCACATTACTACCGAGAAGTCCCGCCTGTTGAGCCTCCTCTACCGGGGAATTCTGGCTCTTGTGCTCAATTCATCACACTCAAGATTTGATTTTGGCGATCGCATCATCATATGCCTTGATAACAGGATTATATAAATGCTTCGGATCTTGCGGGGTGCCAATGATAATTCCTCTGTCCCCGTACGGAAAAAGAATGTCTCGTATAGCTCTGCAAAGCGGTTTGGCAAACTCAAATGCTGGAGGAAACTCAGTCAAAATATCCTCAAGCCCATCTGCACCCATATCGGTTCGCTTGCTTCTTGCAATTTTTTTGTAAGTTCCAGTGTACCACTCCTTCAGCATACTGTCTTTTGGTGGAGAAAATTTATTCATTAAGATGCGCTCAAATTCACCAGTTTCCATGTTATCTTGTTTGAGGTTTGCAATTTTCTCATGACTTTCCATGCACCATTTCTGTAGCATATTATCTTCTGGCCAGATACATAGCTGATATAACTTCTGCAATTGCTTGAATTTTTCCCAGCCGTGACGGGCGCACTGCCAGATAAGCACGTAGAAAAATGACTCAAGATCATGTCGATAGGTATGGTCGATATTAAGCAGCACCTCAATTGCCATGAACTCCATTGTGCCAGTCTGGTGCCGCGCACCACTTCGCCCGCTCCCAACTTCTTTGGCAAGATCCAAATCAATTAGCATACCCGAGTGACCGTCTGTCTTGCCTGGATTGGTTATTATTATATTGTTCTCTGAAATATCCCGATGAAGGATATTCCCATCCAGATAAAGAGACCGGTGCGCCTTTATAGCATCGCGAAGTGTCATGAGCAGCTCCAAGGGTGATTTATAGTCATAGATCAGCCGGCCAGCAGGCGATATCATAAGACAGCGGAGGACACGGTTGTCATAGGCTTCCTCATCATTCCTGTCGAAGAGGCTTGGCTTGTGCACTGACTGAATGGAGAAAGCTAGTTCATTGTCCTGCTGGGTGTCCCTTGACGGTTGATTGATGGAGCGCGATCGTTTGGATGCCTGCATCCCTTTATCCGGAGATCTGCGTTTCCTGGAAGACGACTTTCGCCCTAAGCTACGGAGCTCGGTGAGTGGCTGAGATTGATGAAATGAGGAGGCCGCGCTCTTGAAGTCGTGTCGCTTGTCGTCGAAGGTCAGGCCGCAGCGTATGTCGGCGATACTAGTGATGGCACTATGGCCAATGATCCTGGCAACCCCTTGGACATTTTTTTGACCTGCTAGCTCAAGGAGCTCCGCCTCCGGCCGCCGCTTGTCTGACACCCACGAGAATTTGGCTACACCCTCCACTTGTCCATCATTTGCGAGAAAACATGTTGTCCCGCGGCACACGATGGCACTCTGAAAGGAAAGCATTTCACCCAGCTGTAGCACCTTTTCCTCCGAGGTCCCAGGCCCTTTGACAGTTATTGATTTGCTGCCACCTTCATTGCTAGCAATAAAGGTGTCCAGTCCCAGTTCCTCATCACTCATCATGGTGTAGCCCACAAGCATCTGAAAGAACCATCTTGAGTCTGTGTAGACATCAATGATGCCTGAGCTATAGGGGCCTGAGCGGTCAAACACCCATGCCTCCATCTTGGTCCCACAGACAGTGAACGCGTGGACAAACCGCCGGGTGGGCTGGGCAGCAAAGACCTCACGCACATAGCGGCTTATCTGAAGCAGGGTGCCTTTAGTCCTGATCTCCTCCTTGGATTTTTTGAGCTCACCAACTACCAGAATGTCTCTCCAGTTGTGTTTGTTTTGCAAAGAGCTTTCATCCCTAGCTCTTAAAAGAAGGTCAACTTGCCGTTCTGCATTTGAACCAGTAAGATCTGCTTTGCTTGCTGTGGTGTAGTAGACGCTATGTGATTCTAAGAGAAGATCTTCTTGAAGATGAAACCACCAGGCAAGGACATTGTCCTCTGTAGGAGGATCAGGAAACTGGGCCCAATTCCCATCACTGTCTGAGGCCAGCACACGTTGACAGATGGCATCTGCTTTGCTGCTCCAGTCTTTTCCCACAAAGTACTTGTTGAAGAAGCCCTCAACATCTCGAAAGATGCAGCCACGTATCTCCTCAAAGATTCTTGGATTCACTAAGTCACATGTCTGCTCAGAGCCTTTCTGTGATGATGATGTGGATTTGACTGGTGTGCCATCGTAGGAAGGGGGGACGCTCGCTGGTGGTGTTGTTCGAGGGATGGTGTCAATGAGGGTAAATACAGCTTTCCAGACATTGAAGCTCCAGGTTTCAACATTCTGAGATTCAGTGGGAGGTCTTTGAATAACCAGGTGCACCAGTGGCTGGTAGTCATTGAATCTGAAGTTTCCTTTTGCCTTTCGGAGGCGCTCGAATAATTGTGCTAGATCAGATGCCACATCCCCTTCATTGATCCGTGAGGGAAGGTTGTAGGCTGCACCCTCTCCCTGTAAAGTATAGACAAGTTTTGAAATCACATTTTGATAGAGTTGGTCAAGGTTATCAACAGCGCCATTGTAGGAAATTAGATGTGACTCATAGATTTTTTCAGCCTCCTGAAGCATGCCTTGTAAACTATTGACTGAGTCAGTTAGAGGATGGTTCTTGATAATGTCGCGATCTCCCTGTGAAAGTTCCGCCATTTTGACAGTATAAAAGATTCTTAATTTGGTGCGAGTTTAACAAGGAATTGCAAGGAAAGAAAAGCCAGGCTTGGTTTGCTAATTAATTTTATCACCAAAATTTTCTTGGCCAAGTGAATGACTAAGCATGGAGTAACTAAGTTAATGTTGGCCGTTAACGGCCGTTGCGGCTATTGGCTGTATTGATCTCGCTAGATCACATGACCAATCACTATATTAAGCTCTTTGTAGATAGCTCTATCAATACAACCTTCAACTATTCTACAGGTTATGAGCCCGTTTAGCGTGAGCCTCACTGTGGTCAACATGCATGAGTTCAATCTCAAGATGAACTTGAGAATATAAATCTCAAAATTAATATTCTGAATATTTAAACAGTGTTAAGAGTAGACTGATTAGTAAAATTATAAATTTCATATTTAATCTTATTTAATCCGATCTTATAGATTTGTGGCGGGCTGCGCCCGATCAATCATATAGACTATTCCGTTACACTCCACAGATTCCTACCGCTCCGATCCCCGGCCGAAAAACCCTACTGCTCCGATTCTCGGTCGCCGATCCTCAGCTGAAAACCTACAGAATTCCTGTTCTTTCATCTCAAAGCTTCACCATGTACATGTATAAATATTCACTCTGATCACTGATTCCTGCACTTTCTCTTTCCTTTCCTTCTTTAACATTTTTCACTTTGTTATATAAGATCTATTTATTATACTGATCTATTCAGTGTAGGCCTCTTACACTTGAAAAATGTTCATTATCTTCTTATTAGAAATGATTACTTATTGAGAAGATATCTGAACATGTAACAATGTATAAGAAACAGTTAAATAGTCACTGAGTTCTCAGATAGAAGCTTGCTCATCAGTCACTCTGACTCTGTAATAAAATTTTACAAGAGAATGTTAGTGAAAGATCTGAGAGTTCTAATACTCTAGATGTATAAGATATTTATACAATTACACTTAGACTGATCACTGAGACTATGAATTTCACATTTGATCTCATTTGATCTGATCTCATACATTTCTTGGCAAGAATCTCACTGAGACTAGTTATTAAAAAAATATGAAAAGTGACTATATATCAGATCTTAAAATGAAACCATGACTTGAAAAAAATAAGAAAGTGATTTCATTTGATCTCATTTAGTCTCATTCATGACATAAAGTTACTATTTTTAGACATTTTAAGGTTTTTTTAGACTATTTTTAATTTTTTAAAAAGTAATGCTTTTTGATAACACTTAAATGAGATTTAAAGTCATTTAATGCAATAAAAATAATTTAAATTAAGAAGTGAAAATTATGATCTTATTTGAAAAATGTGATAAGAGTAGACAGTAAGTTTCACTGAGATAGTATAAAACTACTATTTAATGTTAAAACTGTGTAATGAAATCAGTCAAATTGATAATGAGACTATCAAAAAATCTGGTCCTGGTCTCAGACACGGTCACACAGTCAGTCTAATTACACTTCTTCAGATTTCACAGTTATCACACATTCAATGAATAACATGTCTAATGATAATATAAGAGAACTCTTAAATATAAGCATAGATATAATACTACAGTAACTTCAAGTAATGTTGAAATTATAACAATAATAGATAGCTGACATGACATGCATGTGACTTAACAACTTCAATATAAGAAAATTCAATGTTAAACTCAATAAGAAACTCATGTAATTTCAACATCTACAGAATCAAATATAAAAGTACTGAAAGAATGCTTAGATGCTTTTATATATTTCAAAGCTTCTGATCTTACTCTCCACTCATTATAAAGATTGAAAATGCTTATGAAACTGAGTGTAGATAAAGATGTCATCAGTTCACTAATTAATAAAGATTAATATATCAATGAATGATTAAAGAATCACATAAAACAGAAGTTTTATTCATAAATAAAAGCATGTGAACCAGTGTTGTGAACATCTGATAATATTATCAAACATCTTGATATTCTGTTTGAAGACACTGTTAAATAATAGAAAGTGTTAGAATAATTATAGAGTGTCTGATAAAGAAATACTTCTTCTATAATATTTATCTCTGACTTCAACACTAAGATTCTAGAAGTAGATGATTAATCTTGAGAAAATCAGATAAAGATTAGCATGCTTAAGAAGATATTAACTTTTGAACTCTTACAGACTTTTATAAGTGTAAATAAAGACCTGACTTATAAAGACTTCTGCATATAACTCTGAATATTGAATGACTGTCTTATGAAGCTCAAGAGTATACATAACAGTGATAGAAGATATTATATCTCAGTCACTCATACACTCACATCTGTGATGAAGAATAATAACAATGATGCAGATACTATAAACTGAGTAGACTTAAATATCTATACATAAGCAAGAGACTCTGCTGTGTGAACAGGCTTCTGAGTTTCTGAATTCTCTTCTGAAGAAGTCACTGATCAATGTCAATTTGAAGTATACATCAACTATAACTGATGAGAACATATTACTTTTAACTGCTGATTAATCTATATATCTTCTCACTTAAGAGAAAGATCAGTGTCTTCTCACTTAAAGAATGAATCAGCATCTGTCTGTGTTAATCACATTGCAGTGAAGAAAGATTTAAAACATAACTATAAGAATATCTTAATGAAACAGAGAAAAGATTAGCTTCTGTTTAAATTTGTAAACAGAAGCTTGAAGAGATCAGATGATAATAATTTAAAGAAAAAATGACAATGAATGTGATTCTTGTATCTACTATGATGAATAATATGTATAATATGAAGACTATAATAGATAGCAGTCTATGCTACTATACAATAATTAAATCTTCAGTTGTAAGACATTTTAATTTTTAGTGTATTCTCTTATCAAGACCCTGAGTTCTTGCAGAATTTAATAACTTAAAAAACATTTGTATGTGTTATATAATAAAGTTGATCATAGATGTCATAGAATATCAATATAAAGATGTCTATATATATAACTTTGATAATCTTAATTATAATCTTATGTTAGAACTTGTCTGACTATCTGAACAAGATATCTTATTAAATGCTTAAAATAGAAGCTTGATATTCTCTAACAATGATAGAATTCATGAAGATAATATTCATAAAATCATGAACCTGACACAGATCTCTGTCAATGTGTATAAAATGCTTCAAAAAAGTGATCACTGATAGCAGAATTATATGATCATCTATTTCACTAGTCTGAGAAATATCAAAAGAACTCTAGAAAAGTTATCTCATATTATAATAACAGATTCTTATACAAATCTCTCTTAATAATATCATGAATATCTAGATATCTTCTGATAAGATAATATTGTTACAAATCTACCTCTCTTACAAGGTTCAGAAGTGAATCACAGTATCAAGTTAAAAAAGAAGAATGATAAGAACTCTGAATCATCATGAGACTCTCTTTATAATATGTTCTAAGATGAACTTCTTCTTCTTTGAAAGACACTCAATGATCTGTTGAATAAAGAATTCATATATATTAGTAATTTCTCTGTCACCGCTTCTATTCTCTTTGCAAAGAAATCAGGCAAAGAACTCTGATTCTGTGTGAACTATTGAGAATTGAATAGATTAACTAAGAAGAACTGCTATTCTTTATCTCTGATTAATGAAACTCTAGCTCACATTGAACAAGCTCAATGATTTATAAAACTAGATATCATTGCTGTGTTTTATAAAATCTGTATCACTGAAGAAGATGAATGACTTATAATATTCTAAACATGTTATGATCTCTTTGGATGAATAGTTACTCTCTTTGAACTAACTAATGCCTCTAGTACATTTCAAAAGTATATTAACTGAGCACTTGAGAATTTTCTTGATGAATTCATATCTGTATATCTCAATGACATTCTCATCTTCACTGATAGATTAAGAAAAGAATATCAGAAACATGTGTGAAAAGTATTACAATAATTATAAGAAGCAAAACTATCAATAGATATTGATAAGTATAATTTTAAAGTCAAGAGTATCAAATATCTGAGTTTTATCATAGAAGCTGACAACGGGAATTTGAATGAATTCTGAGAAAGTCTCTGCTATTCTTGAATGAGAAGCATCATGTACTGTGAAAGATGTACAAAGCTTTATCAGATTTGCTAACTTCTATCAGTAATTTATACAGAACTTCTCAGATATCATGAGATTACTTACAGAACTCATTAAGAAGAAGTCAGTATTTCAGTAGTCAGTGAATGCTGAAGCTGTATTTATATGAATGAAGAAGACGTTTATCAATGCCTCCCTGCTAATGATATTTCACTCTGATTATTAAATAGTTGTTGAAGCTGATTTCTCTGACTATATCACAGAAGAAGCTATATTGTAATATAATGATGAAGATGTCTTACAATCATATATCTTCATATCTAAGAAACTGTAAGAGGCCTACGCTGAATAGATCGGTATAATATTTATAGGTCTTATATAACAAAGTGAAAAATGTTAAAGAAGGAAAGAAAGAAAAAGTGTGAGAATCAGCAATTGAAGTGAATATTTATACATGTACACAGTGATGTATGCAGTGGAACTTCAGAACGGAAGAATAGAGGTTTTTATACACAGTGAAGCTTCAGAATGAAAGAATAGAAATTCTGTAGATTTTCAGCTAAGAATCAGTGACTGAGAATCAGAGTGATAGAAATCTGTGAAGTGTAACAGAATAGTCTATATGATTGATTGAGTGCAGTCTGTCACATTAGCTCTCTCTCTCTTTCTTGATTATATATAGCTCTCATCAGTCAAGAGCTGCAGTCTTGAATAACATAGAACTCAGAGTTCAGGTCAGGTGATTGTAGCTGACTCATTTCACAAGATATTATCAGTCATGACTGTGAGATCTCTTATCAAGAATATCTTCAATCTCTCATTCAAGTTCATTATCTTCTTCTATGATCTCTGGTGGCTGTCAGTTGAAAGTCAGTTGAGAAGAAAACAGATCAGTGACAGTGTGATGAAGCAAGCTTATATAAAAGACATCATGAATCTCTGATAATGTGTCAAGATGATAGTTATGACTGTCTAGAACTTCTATCACTTTATACTTTATATAA